GAAAAGAAAAGAAAAGAAAAGCAAAGAAAAGCAAAGTGCGAATCCATCCCAGTGGTCCTATGTTAAATTCTAATTTTTCTTCCCCCAATTTTAGCTGCGGTTGCATTACAGAAATCGAATTTGGAGTCGTTGCGAGCTATCCAACATAAAGATATCTACGGAAATCCAATAAGTGAGCAGGCTCATTTGCTTTTTGGCTTTTGTTTCCGGATTTCTCCTGTCCAGTACAATTGACTGGGAAAATCTACTCTGCAGCTGACCCCGATTTATCAAATCCTACGCGCCATCGATTTGAGCGTCCCTTGGATACCATTCGCTCGTTTGAAGCAGCCATTGATGGGGGTTATCTGAACCGAAGGGTGTCGTATATTCGAGGAGGTACTTTAAATTTGGCCCCTTCTCCTCTTCTTATATCCTTTCATGTTTATTTTCTTCTCTGATATCCAAAATGACTCACTTACTGATCCTTGGCGGTTTAGACGAGAGTGCAAACGGTGGCTACAGCAGACGAAGTAGTTATTTTGGAGGTATCATCCACCCGTTCTTCTTCCTCCCCTCTCTTGCTGTCCTCATTCTTGTCTACACTGCCCATCTTTTTCACTTACCATTCCAATTTTGCCTTGTAAAACTTTTATTTGCTATGGGTGGGCCAAAAACTAACCTAGCGACGTCTAGATCGAGGAGGGGGATATGGCAACCATCGGATCGGGGGATACAACGAACAAGCCAACTATTCGAACCACCGCCTGGCCCCGTCAAGGCCTGATAGTTTTGCTGAAAGCTATGGCGGGGGCAATTATAACGGATATAATAACGGCTACAACAATAACAACAGCAACAATAATAGTAACAATGGCTACCATCCACGGACCCCTCGTCATGGTGGACGAATGAATCCTGACCAGCACATGCAGGGATACAATAACATCAACAACAACAAGAACAACAACAACAACAGCTATCAGTCCCAGCAGCAACCACAGTATCCGCCAGGTGATAATTGTAACTATCCATCCCCCTTAGGCGCCGGGGCGGATGCATATGCAGACCCAAACAACACCGGGGATGACAACAGCAATCCGCCCTACCGACAACAACCACAACAACTACCACCACAACCACCACCACACCAACAGAACCAGCACCAGTCCCCCCGCCACCAAACCCTCGCAGAAACATACGGCTTCAACGGCTTCGGCGACGCCCCGGATCTCGACTCCCCACAATCCCCCAACGGCACCACCAGCCGCGGCCGTACCAACAACGATGGCTATTACCAAGACCTCCACAACAACAACATCAGTACAGATTACGGTAATAACAGCGGCAGCAACAATAATAACAATAATTCCTTCAACAATAACCAGGCATCCGCGGCACCGCCCAGCGTCCCAGCCAAGGACATCGCGAGGAAGCCCGTTGCGGCCTTCTCGCTCTCGCCATCTGATTCGCCTTCTTCGACAGCTAATACCGGCGCCATCGCCGGTTCTCCTACGGCGGCGGCGGCGGTTTCTTCATCCGGGAAACGGATGAGTGGCTTTAGGCGGTTTAACAAATCGTGAAAGGGTAAAGGCACCGCACGGGAAAGAAAGAAATCTAAGATGAAAAGGAACGAA